AAATGTGTGACAACAGATTTTCTTTTTGAAACATGATCTAACAAAAGATAGGAGTTTTTTAATTCAGGAGAGAGAGGGTTATTTGAGGTCACCTACATGCAGTCTTGCAATAAAAGTTGCTGTGCTGAAACAGGAAATAAAATAAAATCTGCTATAATGGCTTGTTTTGACTGCCTTTAGAATTTTTCTTCACAAGCTATTTGCAAGTTAAAAAGAGGTTAATACTCTTATCTGCACAGGAATGCTGCCTTTGGAATCTGCAAAAAAACTGTTAGATAAATTCTCAATCTGGGTATCTGAGGCAATGTGCTTTGCCCTCAGTTGCCACGTGCAATGCAAAATTTCTTTTTACTTATAACAGAGTGCCAAAGACTTGGAATGACTTTTAAATATAAGCTGGATTGTGTATAGCAATGTTCATTCATTACATTCTAAAGTGTGTGTGTGTGTGTGTGAGAGAGAGAGAGAGAGAGAGAGAGATGGAGAGTGAAGGAGAGAGGAAGAGAGAACCTATGTGTGTCAGAGTTAAGATTTAAGAATTTGACCTAACCCCAAAACATCCCTGGGATTGCTGCTTTCACGTGAACGCCATTTGTGGATTGTCTCTAAATAAAGCCTAAAGACTTGAGAACAGCTCTATAGGAAATGGCTTCATTACAGAACAATTCTATCTTATTTATCATCCTCAGTATCTGACCCTTCCTAGTTGACCGAGAGATATTCCAGGAATAAAAGCAAACCATTTAGATGGATGTCAAAATTTTCTGGAAGTCTCCTTAGACACAGGGTAGAATCCCACGAGGGGCAGAGTGGGGAGAGAGAGAGATAGAGAGAGAGAGAGGGAGAGAGGGAGAGAGAGAGTAGTGGGGCTCACCCGATGCGGGACTTGAACTCACAAACTGTGAGATCATGACCTGAGCAGAAGTCAGATGCTTAACAGACTGAGCCACCCAGGTGCCCCCCCAAAAGAAACTCTCTTTAGAAGACAGTGTGTATGTGATGTGACAATCCCTCCCTGGCCACACAAGGGTGTTGATTGAATCTAAAGGATTTTAGTGTGAGCTCTGTAGCTGGTTCAGTCCCTTCTGGCCAAGGTTAGAAGATAGGATGAAGGTCTGTACACATAATTGGTGGCACCAGCTAGGCCTAGTGGACTAGAGCACGAGGTAGGCAGAGTTCTAAGATGGCCTCCAAGATTTCCTCCCCTGGTGGACTTGCCCTCCATAAACCCCTCCCCTTGGCTGTGTGTGACATCTGAGAAAATGACAGGATAGCACCCATGATTTGGTTACATAACAAGACAAAGGTGGAGGGATTTTGCAGATATAATTAAGGTCCCATCAGCTGATTCTGAGCTAACCCCAAAGAAGGTTATTATGGGTGGGCCTGGCTTATATCACATACAAATTCATAAGAGGACTAGGTACTTCCTGAAGAAGCAACATTGTGAACTGGTGATGTAAATGGGCAACCTCTAGAAGCCGAGGGCCTCAGTCTTAGAGCCGTGAGAATGTAAATTCTGCCAGCAACCTCAGTGAGCTTGGAAGAGGACCCTGAGCTCTGGGTGAGAATGTAGCCCAGCTAATAACTTGACCTCCTGAGACATTGAACAAAGGGAAGTGAAGCCTAGACTTCTGACCCACAGATTCTCTGAAATAATAAATGTACCTTTTTTTAAGCTGGTAAATCTTCAGTAATTTGTTACTCAGCATTAGAAAACTAAGATAGATATAGTTACTAACAGAAATGGCAAAAAAGAGGGGCTTTTGGGTGGCTTAGTCGGTTAAGCGTCCGACTTCTGCTCAGGTCATGATCTCGCAGTTTCTGAGTTTGAGTTCCATGTTGGGCCATATGCTGACCCAGAGCCTAGAGCCTGCTTTAGATTCTGTGTCTCCCTCTCTCTCTGCCCCTCCCCACCTCGCACTCTAGCCCTCTCAAAAATAAATGAATGCTAAAAAAAAATTTTTTTAAAGAAAAAATAAATGGAAAAAAAAAAGGAAAAGTGGGGGATGGGCACAATACAAAACAGTAGAGTCTATTCTTGAGCACAGAAACTCTGAAAATAATACATCAATACTAATCATGTGGTTGTGATTGTTTACAGGTTTGTCTTCCCCTAAATTAAGCTCTGAGGGGACTCTGCCATCAGTATCTCTTCTGTAGGCAATTTTTACAGCCTCCTCCATGGGCCACGCTGATCTAGACTCTGTGAATAAAGACATGAAGATGTCTGTATGTTCATGGTCTGGTTGATATGTGTGCTTGAGAGTATTAATGCTCACTTGGAGGATTTAATGAGCTGCTCCAGGAGCACCAGAGGCCAACCTGCCTGGCAGAAGGGATTCACAGAGAATTCATAGCATTTCTGAGTCAAAAAGGGGGAATAAGAAAAACTACATATATATATTTAATTGCAACTGCATGTGGGTAAAGAGAAGAAGCAGCTGGAATGAACTTGGGTCCCTTCTTAAAGGGCCTTCCCCATATAAAAGGCCAAGAGATTTCAATAGAAATTTTGGTGTTGATAATTCTACACAGAGGAGTAAAAGGATTAATCTCATCTGGAGGGGAGGTCTGTGTGACAGCAGATAGGAGGCAAGACCAGAGGCAAGAAGAGCAGTAAGAAAGGAAGCTTGGGGGGCAGACATGTTCTGCTCATGCCTTTATCCCTTCTGTGCAGCACAGGGCGCGTCCAGCAGTAGAGGTCAAAAGTGTTGAATCTTAAACCAATGAATCATCAAACGAGGGTTCCAGAGGCAACAGGCATGGAAGAAGCAACCTCTGAAAAGTTGAAAGTTTTCACTCACCATGGAGCTGGGAGAGGGAATATTTCAGGCCTCCAGGGTCTGGGGGATAAGGCAGATGATAAGGGTTCAAAGGGTTTGCAGCAAGCTTGGAATCAGGACCTCTGCTGGGCTCTAGCTGGAGAAGAAAGGGGCAACCCCAAGGCCTGAGGGGCTTAGCAAGTCCAGAGACCAGGAGCATCTCAGGGATCTAATCTAGCAGCACTGTTCAGGATTGGGGTCCTGCCTGACCCTTGGCATGACAGCTCAGGCACATTAGTATCCAATCCGCCTCATCAGCTTTATAGGCAGCCTCTGTTCATTCTCTCCTGGATCACACCCACTCTTTCCCTCCTTCCCCCACCCCATGCTTATCCCCAGTTGCTCCCTCTGGGAGGGTGATTCATCTCAAGACAATGTCAAGGCCAAAAAGGATCATTTATTCATTCAACCAGCTTGATCAACTGCTTCATATTATAGGTAGGCACCCTTCTCTCTGTCTTCTGCCTCAGGGATAAGATGTTCTCCTTTCTATCAAAACCTAATAACCCCTCTGTCCATGCTGACAATCTCTCCATCCATTCATTCATTTGTTCACTTAGTTATTCACTGACAAATATGTGTTGAACAGAGACTCTGTTCTAGGCACTGGGGCACAGCATTGCACAGGATTATACAGAGCTAACATTCTAGATACAGAGGCAGAAAGTAAGCAGTGAGCAAATAAATGAACTAGAAGATTTCAGAGTAATAAGTACTCTGAAAAAACAAATAGTAGAGTAATAAGTGCTCCAAAACTCCTACTGGGTTTCTTATCTCAATATTTGAGACCAACCACTCAATGACCTAAGCCAAAAATCTGGGAAGTGTCCTGGACTCATCATTCTCACTCATTTTTCACCTTTAATTATCAGTCACCAAGCCATGTGGATTCCAACTCTCAATGGCTCTCAAATCCATCTGCTCTTCTCTGTCTCAATGACACCTAATGCAGACACCATCCCGTGTTGTGCCAATTGCTGTGCTAGTCCCCCATTGGTCTCCTTTCTCTAGCCTTGCCCTCCTCCTTCATGTCATGTCCCTGCTGAAAACTGTTAAGTGGTTCTCTATCATTTTTCCAATCAAGTTCAACCCCCTGAGCTTTGCTTGCAAGGTCCTTCATTAGACCCTTCAATCTTGTTTCTTGTTTCCCAAATGCACCTCCCCCACTGAGGTTCCACTCAGACGTATCTGCCGACCTACATGCCGAAGTGTTCTCTATTCTCATGCCTTCAGTACGTTGTGCCCTCACCTCAGGTGCCCTTTGCTCATTCTTCTCTAGTGTTTTGTTTCAAAACTCAGATCAGGTGTCACCTCATTTAGGAAGATCCTTCTTATGATGACCCATGGAGTTCTTATGAGGATTACACTGAGACGATATATGCAACCTTTAACACAGTGATGACACTCAGCTTTTATCTTATTTCCTTAATGGAATTTCTCACATTTGGGGCAGACATATTTAACACATAAATAAAGTTTTCCTATTTAAGGTGAAACCATCTCAGAATACAGACTCTGAGCTGGGCAACTTGTCTCCCTCATTGTTTTAATAAAACGGACTCATGCACAGGAAATTTTCTTTCTTGTTTATGGTTTTCTTGCTTGATACTCGTTAGTATAATTTGAGCTCCTAACCATTATTCTTAATGGCTTGGAAAGGATTCGAATAGGATCCCAAGATGGAAGAAAAATCCCCTAGGTGTCACCATCCTGACAACACACACAGCAATGATTCACTACAGTCCTCAACCCTCAGGGTTGACCAATGTCATTTACAATTTCAGATTGTTTCTTGCCACATTAGCAGCTGCTGCCTACTCTCAGAGCACTGGAAGAATCCACCAACCTTCCACCCTCCCTAGAAGGATCTGGAACCACACACCTCTTCCAAACCAAGATCTATCTGGAGATGTGCTTCCTGAGCTGACCTCTGACACCGAGGCCTTGATCTTCTATGGGGGCTTCAGGAACTCTCTGTGAAAGGAAAAACTGCTTTCTGAGAATGCCTTTTTCCTTCAGACACCCGTTCCCTGCTAAGGTTTCCTTCCCAGAGCCTGCACCCAAAACCACACATCTGGTTCCTACTCTCATACCTGGTGAGACCCCTATCCGTGCTGAGGCTGTGTCTCTGAGTATGAGTCCCTACAGGGGCTGTAAAAGACATGGTTTTCTTACTTGCATTCAGCAAAGTCTGGATCTTTTTCTCTTCTTCAGCCTCTTGGATGAGCTTTTCTGCCAGGGCCTTGTCCTCGGATTCCACGCACACATCAGCTTCCCGCAGGTACTCCAGGTAGTCTATCTCGCGTTGGGCGCGTTCGACTCTCAGGGCCAGGTTTGCCACCGCACTCTTATACTCACTGGTGGAGGTCTGACATCTTCCCAGCATAACAGATATGTTTTTTGAAAACTCTTGGAAGTCTTGAATGTATGCCCTCGTTGCCTGGGTGCATTTCTCCAGTCCTTGCTTCAGTCAGAAAATAAATTCTCAAATTATTGCTAGTTACTTTTGGCCAAGTAATATAAATAGCTATCATTCACAGAAAAATACTTTTAAAATTTTTTTTGTTTTATTTTATACTTGAGAGAGACAGAGAGTGAGCGTGGGAGGAGCAGAGAGAGATGGAGACAGACTCAGAAGCACGCTCCAGGCTCTGAGCTGTCAGCACGGAGCCCGATGAGGGGCTCGAACCCACAAACTGTGAGATCATGACCTGAGCTGAAGTCAGACTTTTGACCAACTATTTTAAAATATTTTAAAAATATAAATAATCAGGGGTGGCTCAGTTAGTTAAGCGCCCGACTTTGGCTCAGGTCATGGTCTCACAGTTCATGAGTTTGAGCCCTGAATTGGGCGGTGCACTGGTAGTGCGGAGTCTGCTTGGGATTCTCTTTCTCTCCCTCTCTCTCTCTCTGCCCCTTTCCCCCTTGTGCTCTCTCTCTCTCTCTCTCAAAATAAATAAACTTAAAATTTAATAAAAAATAAAATATAAATAATCACAAAGGGGGAAAATAAAAATTACCTCAATCCCTTAATTCAAAATTCCACTGATATGTTAGTGTATCAGTTTGTAAAAGTTTTCCCATGCATTTAGTCATACATATGTAATTATATATTTTTAAATGTAGTTTTTACTATGTTGTATGTTTTGTAACATATTTTCACTTGCTGATATACTGTGAATCTATTTCAATGCTAATTAAGAGATATCTATACAATAATTTTAATGATACAGAATTTTATTGAACTGATATCTTCTTATTTATTCTATTAGACTCTTTTTGATGGACTTTCATGTACTTTTCAAATTTTTGCTTTCAACCAATGCTGAAAACAATCTTTGTATTTACTTCTTCATGTACTTATCTGGTTATTATCTTAGGGTAGATTTCCAGAAGAAAGCTCCATCCACAGCCCCTGGCACAAGGCCTAGCACGTAGTACTTAATAAACACTTACTGACAGAAAGAATAAAATGAATGAAGAATGGAAATGGGGTGGCTAGGTCAAAGAGTATGTGTACTTAAAGCTCATTAGGCAGTTTATCAAAATGCTCTCCATTAAAGTTGTAAAAATTTATGCTCCAAACAGCAGTTGGTAACATTGTTCATTTTGAAGGGAAAGAGAGAGGGCTAGGTGAGAAAAGAGAGAAAGAGAGAAGAAGAGAGGGAGAGGGGGAATGAGAGAAATTCCTAAACCTATCCTCTTAATTCTGACCCCTCTGCCACAAATCCCTCAGGGTGAGTATTGTATTAGTTTGTAAGTGTCCACATTGGCCAACAGTGACTGTCACCTGGGACTTGACTTCCCCTCCAAGTCTTGACCAGGGTGGGAAGATCTATACGAACCATATCTCTATCTTTTTAAAATCCACATTCATAACCTTGTCTGCAGATAAACTTTTCAGGAATTGAGGGAAAACTGCAGGATTCTGGCTGGCGCTAATCCCAGGGCAAGTTGGTGCTAAATGCAGAGGGACCATAGTTGAGCCTAATTCTGGCACTTTCAAGGAGGCACACAGGGGAGGAGCTATCTGAGGAGAAAGCAAGGAAGGCAGCAGCAAGAGGCCACTGGCCTGGAAACATCGGGTTCTCTGCCCCCAGGCCTCAGCGGGTTGGCTGGACAACATTAGGAAATGCGTTCAGCCTGTTCTTTGGAATTATTTTACTCAACTAGATGATCAACTAATTTGGACTTTAATATTTTTCAAGAAGATACAGAAAATAAATATGGGAAATAAAAGTATCTTTGGGAAAAAATGTCTTTGGAAGAAGGTAAAGAATTTATCAAAATTTAACTTGTACAAAAGCAAAGCAATTGAGTATGAAATAATGGCAATGCCAGGGGGTATGCCAAAGACTAGGGGACAGGGTTACATTTGTGCCTGGGAGCCTGTCTAAGCTGCAAAAATGGTGGGTTTTACAAAGTTTAATGAAGTGGCAGCTGCAACCCATGGAGAAGGGGACCCCAATACTTTCTCTCTAACACAGCTGAAATCTACTCATTTCTTGTTTTGTGGGGGAGTGAGAGAGAGAGAGAGAGAAGGAGACAGACAGACAGAGACAGAGAATGAGTGGGGGAGGGGAAGAGAGAGAGAAAGGGAGACACAGAATCTGAAGCAGGCTCCAGGCTCTGAGCTGTCAGCACAGAGCCCGATGTGGGGCTCAAACTCACAAACCATGAGATCAGGACCTGAGTCAGAGTCAGCGCTCAACCCACTGAGCCACTTAGGCACCCATGAAATCTACTCATTTTTAAACCCAAGTGCAGTTTGGCAAAGGAGCTAAGATGTAGCCTCTTGATACAATATCATAACTTTTTACAGCATCCTAATATTTTATCATAAAAATACAAATGGAAAGGCTAGCATCTACTATCATCTTGATACAGTAAAATACGAATAAAAAGTGACCCAAATTTTTAATTTTCATAATTAAAATATTAAACTATGGAATAACAACATTGTGCAACATTACTGCCATGCCAGGCAATGTTCTAAGTATGCATTAATTTATTAAGTCTTTAGAATAGCCATAGGAGGTAAATTCTATTATCATCCCCATTTTATAGATGAGAAAAACTGTCAGATCATAGCACAGAGTGAAGTCCTGCTTAAGGTTTGGGAGTGGTACATTCTGGGCTCTGGAGCCAGTGCTCTGAACCACTAGACGGTAAAAAAATTCGCAATGGATTTATCATTTGCTATGTGGGGAAAGTGCATCCCAGTGGAGAGGGAAGAAGGGGTAAGATAACGTGACTTCCGGGAGGCATGTTCCCCAGATCAGGTGCACAGATGCCACCTACCTCCAAGACTTGAAAGCGCTGGTGGATGTAGTGCACCATGGCCGGGTCCTGGGCACACTGTGGCGGGAGCCGAAGAGACGCAAGGAATAGAACCAGGAGAGCAGATGCTTGCCGAAGGGCCATCACTGTCCTGCAAACCACCCAGGGGTGGAATCCCCTGTGCTGTGCCTTTCTAAGAAAACTCAAGGGTCCAGATAGTGGCCTTCTACTTTCTAGCCACTGCTGTGAAAATCCTCTACAAACAGCCAGAGAGCAAAGCCTGCTTGTTATTCCACCAGATGCGTGATCTCACTTTGCAAGCCAGTGATCAAGTCCAGCTGTTGGCAAGTGGGTCCCTGGAGGCCTTGCAGGTCGACTTGGGGTAGAGAGCTCCTTGGGTCCATCTGTTACTATCACCCTTTACACACACTGATCCTCTCCAGCCTAGTGGCTGCACCCTCTTGCAGGCCTGGGTGGGTGTGCACTGGGGTGGGCGTGAGGGTAGGGAGGGCATCCCCCCTCCCCTTGGCTCCTTGTGTTTACTTCTGCTTTCCTCCTCCCTAGCAGACTCTGCAGTCCAATCACAGGCCTGACCCAACACAAACCAAACCACCCCCAACTTCTCAGAGTTGGAATCTCAGTTCAGTTTCTGGCAAAAATTCCCAGGATCCTTTTCCCAGAAGTCCTATTGGGAGACCCCACCCCTTCTCCAGTCTCTTTGCATTCCTGCAGCTCTTAAAGGCACAGCAAGAAAAAAATGAAAGCTTGGATACACCCCTGTCTCTGAGCAGCCAGTGCACAGGGCTGACTGCCCCTTGGGGTGAGAGATACAATGGGCCACAGGACTGGCTGCCCCAGGCTGAGAGCTGAAAAATCAGAGGATGGAGCTCAGAAGAACTTTATTAAGGGGTACAGCAAAAGCCGTCTACACAGTGATGCTTCCAGAGCTGTCATCAGGACATTGAACTCCTTTGTATGAAAGTCCTTGAGTGTCCTCAATCTCTAGAAGCAGAATCTCCTGTAGGTTCAGGCCAGCAATTCACAGGATGCAACTCCTGCAGGCCCTGGTCCAGTTGAAGATACATCCCAAGGGCAAAGTAGTAAAAGCCTCCTTTTTTTTCCCCCTTTGCTGTCCAGGCCTTTAATTATCTCAATCTGTCCTTCCATGGGTGGGTCCAGAATACCCATGGTTCTTTCTCAATCACCTACCAAAGTGGGGTAGGTTGGGCATCTATGAGACATGGAAGAACTCTGACCAGGAGCCAGAAGACCTGGGTTTGCATTTGGTTCCTGCAAGAGACACTAAAAGACAGAATTTTCCAGGGTACAATTACAAGTCCCTGTCCCCATCAGATAGACATCCCTCTCTACCTGTCTTCCACTTGACCTTAGCCCCTAACTGTGCCTCACCACTCCCTTGGTAAAGTCGCAAACAATGGCAACTAAGGTTAATTCTTCAATCCTAGCATTAATTCCTCCTACTTCCAATAACCATCTTTGAACCATTCCCCAAATGAGGTGAAATTCTGCTGACCCCTCCTCTTAAATCCTCAGAAACAATACTGCCCGACTCCTCCTCTTCCTCCAAGTGGGAACGCTCTTTCAGAAACTTCTCATGCCCAGCATCTTGGAACCAAGTCTTATGTTGAAGAGGCCCTGGTTGATTTTATTCCTGAATGCCTCAAGTCCTAATGTTGAGATGGTAAACTCAGATGGATAAGGTCCAATGAGGTAAAACTCTGACTGTATCACAACTAACTTGGAGGGGGAGTGGGCAGAGTTGTGGAAAATCTGCTTCTTGGTTTTCTGTGGCATGTTTACATTATTATCACAATGAAATATACATTCACAACTAATGAAGTCTCATGAATTATGGAGAGTAGGTGAGAAGGCAGTGGAAGGCCACAGCGGTAGCATAATGCTGTGCTCAGGGCTGTGCCCAGGGCTGCTGTGGCCCTGACATCTCCGCAGTGGGCTCCAGAGAGCCAGGGCCTCAGAGCCCTTAAGTCCAAGCTGGCAGGTCCTCACTTGCCAGCCACTGTCTGGCCCCTCACCACTCTCTCTTCAGTCACCAGCTTCATAGGCACAAGGCCTATCTACTCTAACTGCTCATCCCTGGTCTCAGTTGGAGAGTTTTACTCTTATGATCCCAGGTGCAGCCAAGTCCATAGCTAGCTCCCTGATCTCATTAGAATTGTGAGCCCTGGGGCAGAGCCAGAGTGTAAACCCTCGTGTTCTTGTGACCAGAGGTTTCATAAAGAAAGAATAAATTCCTTTTGAAGATAGTCACAAATGTGACTGACATACAGAGGCCAATTGGGGCCATCCTTATTCAGAGCAGGCCTTAATCAATGGAAAGATGGCCTGATACACGTTAGCCTACAGTTGAGATAAAATCATTTGCTGGGCTCTTTTGCCTTCCTTACATTTAACCTCTGGCCTTGATCACTGCTATAAGCTCACTAGCGATGACAGTGGTCAAGCACAGTGCCCCCTGCTTTCTTCCTCTGCAGGTGTCTGTTTCATCCTGCCTCGGTATCCTGAGAGAGGAGACTTAAGCCCTTGACAGCCACCCCATGTCCTCGGTGTGGTTGGATCCAGGTCACTAGTCCTTAATCTGTAAGCCCAGGCCTGAGATGACTGCCCTAGATGACCAGTCAGAACAGGACCTGTGAATGCGGAGCCTGGTCAGCCCACTGAGGCTGACTTCATCCAGTTTCCCAGGTCTTCTTGGAATTCTTTGCCACCTTGATGACAGGGGGCCCTTGTGCTGCTGTGCTTCTTTATTAATGGACTCCCTGACTTCTAGAGCCTTCTCTGCTCCCTATCCTCCACTTCACTGAGGAGGGCTAGCCAACTAGGAGGATACTCTGCCTTCTTGAGGAGGCAGAACCAACCTGACAGAATCCCATCTGTGTTACTAGAATTCCACATTTAGATCTGAACAAGTTACTTCCTGTTTTTTTCTTCTCTCTTTCCTCCCATCTTTTCCGCTTTATCTTTTACTCCCCACTCTGGCCCCCACCCCCACTCGAACAGCTCTTTGCCTTAGCATCATCCTCCAACCTCACAGCCTTTTACAAGTAATTGCATTGTTTCCTGCCTGAGTGATCAGAGCAGCCTCTAATTCCCTGTCTATGTCTCTCTGCATAAAGTAGTGGCTGATTTTATGCCAACAGGAAACCATCTTAAAACATGACCTTGGCCAACCCCTCTTGCTTTGGCTCTTACTACCATCTCCCACATTCAACCTCCACAACAACCACATCTAATTGTCCCCAAACTCCCTCTGAAATTTAATATCATGGTATCTTTGCTTAGCCTAGAATGTTTCTCCCTTTGGTAACCAGTGAACTCTTAACTTATCCTTTGAATCTTCCTACCACCTCCTCACCCTCATCCCTGCAGAATAACGCACTCTTCCATCTGTTTCCATAACATATTGAAGACTGAGTCTTGGAAATCTGAGGGGAAGCCACTTCTGGACATTGGTGCTCTGATGGAGGGGTGTGGCTGGCTGCCTCTGAGGCAGCAGCGTAGAAGGAGGATAAGAGGAAATATAGACCTGTTCGGGGCTGAACTGTGTCCCTCTGCAAAGTTCTTAGTTTGACGTTCTAGCCCATAACACCTCAGAATGTGACTATACTTGGAGATAAGGCCTTTAAAAAGGTGATTAAGTTAAAATGAGGCCATTAGAGTAGGCCCTAATCTAATCTGAGGAACTTATAAAAAGAGGACCTTATAAAAAGAGGACTGGGGAACTTATAAAAAGAGGAAATTGAGGTACACAGAGGCAGCACATGTGCAATGGGCACGGAGGAAGCACCATGTAAGGACTCAGTAAGAAGGAGGACATCTGCAAGCCAAGGAAAGACTCCTCAGAAAGAAAATAAGCCTGTTGACACCTTGATCTTGGACCTTTGGCCCCCAGAACCATGAGAAATAAATTCTTGTTGTTATGGCAGCCCCAACAAACTCATATGAGCACCTGCTGAGTTGCAGAAGGGGGCAGCATGGGGACAAAGTTGAAAAAAGATTCCAATGGGGATTTACAGGATGTTCTTGGCAGGAAGTAAATTGATAAGGAATTTCCTGGGTGATACACCAATGATTTCCCGGTCTAGGCTTACTGCTTGAGCTCCAAATCCTATTTTCACCTGTCTACTGGACATTTGCACTTGGATATAGAATAAATATCTTAAACTTGAGCCGTCTGTATTTATCTTTCTAGTCAGACTTAAACTTCCTTTTGCATTTTCTTTATCCCCAAATAGCACCACCTTCTATCTACTTATAAATGCTGAAAAGTAGGAGTTATTCTAGATTCTTCCTCACTCTTTTTTCTTTTTAATTTTTTAATGTTTATTCATTTTTGAGAGAGAGAGACAGACAGACTGTAAGAGGGGGAAGGACAGAGAGAGAAGGAGACCAAGAATATGAAGCAGGCTCCAGGCAATGTGGGGCTCAAACTCACAGACTGCAAAATTATGACCTGAGTTGAAGTTGGGCATTTAACTGACTGAGCCACCCAGGTGCCTCATCACTCTTATTCTTGTGTTTAAAAAATCAATTAATCAGTCACCAAGACCTATTAATTTTATCACCTAAATATATATCAAAAATGCCCTCTTCTCTTTTATCCTTTTATTGCTATTTCTGTACTTAGGGCTTCCTTATTTTCTACTTCTTAATTCATTTATTTAACAAATATTTGGGGGTGCCTATTATGTTCCAATACTGGACTATGCACTAGGGATACAATGACAGATACAATACATATATTCTATGCCCACAAAGAGGATGTAATCTTGGAGGGGAGACAATCACAGAGATGTGCAATTATAATTATTTTATTTAATGTTTATTATTTTTGAGAGAGAGACAGAGTGTGAGGGGGGAGGGGCAGAAAGAGAGGGAGACACAGAATCTGAAGCAGGTTCCAGGCTCTCAGATGTCAGCATGGTGCCTGATGCAAGGCTTGAACCCACAAACTGTGACATCCTGACCTGAGACAAAGTCAGACGCTTAATCAACTGAGCCACCCAGGCACCCTGCATCATAACTATTTTAATTATGCAGTGATAAAGATAGTACTGAATGCAAAGACAGTATAGAGATGGAACACTTGAGCTCTGTGAATCAGGAAAGACTTCCCAAAGGAGGTAACACCTAATACCTGAAGCTGAGACTTGAAGGGTGAGTAGAAATTAGCTTATCAAGGAGATAGCAGCAGGGAGAGGTGGAATGGCTCTAGGCACAGGCAAGAACATGTGCAAAGATACATAAATGAAAACTTAGCGGATTTGAGGCACAGGTAAAAAGTTCTGTATGGACTTTCAATGACTGAGTAATGACACTAAGGAATTATTGTAGTTAGGCTCCCTAGGAAATAGATGTTGAGACCAACATGCATGCAAAACATTTCTGGGGATGTGCT